CAAAGAAGGGGCTGACAGGACTTGAGTTCCACAGGGACTATTCCTATACAGTCTCTCCACTCCACATTGTTTAGGGACAATGAGTTTTGGTAGGGACAATGAGTTTTGGTAAAAAAATAAAAAACGGGGGGGGGGGGGGAATAAATCAGTGAAATGGTCATGCTAAGGGCACTGTGATGATACTAGAAAACAGATTGCGTGGTTAAATGTTACCAAAGGGTTTATGTAAGAATTCTGGAGACATCTGTCTGTAGTGTTTTAAGAAAAATTGAGGTGAATTTACAAAAGAAATTAATTTCTTATGAGTATGAGTGCTTCCAAAGAGATGCACGCTTAAGTTTCTGACGCAGCTTTGAGATGCAGTCTTGATTGCGTGAGGGGACAAGATGTTCATCTCAATCTAAATATCAGAGTTTCAGAATAACTGTTTCCACAGCATTATACAGAAACAGGGAGGAACTGAGGTGGTCACAGTTGTCAAACTTGGCTCATAAGATGTTAATCTTGAATTTCTGTCTCTTCATTAATAGTCAACAAGCAAATGGGTTTTGGAACTGTGTTAATTTTAGGTTCATCTGAAGTAGAGGAGATGATTTTAAATGATGATTCTGGTAAATGTGGTAGGAAAGATTTGTAAGGAGGGTTTCCTCTAGATGAAGTTTCTAATGCATAGTCAACATGCCAGGGAATTAAGTAGTCCCTCATCTAAAAATGGAATAATGAAGGAAGAAAAAAACAGACCCCTAGAAACTGGCAAGAAGATATTGCTCAAACTTTAGTTTATCCCTGTTATGTAGTTATTGTCTGTGACCGTGCAAGTTTCTTAATGGACAGAGGTTTTAACAGCTCAAGCTCCTTTTAAAACAGTTTCAGAGGAGATGGCAGTGATGTTTGAGGGTTCATTAATTATTGGTCTTACTGGTGTTTGCACAGGCAGCTGAGATCATAAATGTCAGTCTGTCACTGTGATGGGTTCTTTACGAAAAGAAAAAAAACCCGAGTGCCTCAAAATCTGTCATCAAACCAGAGATTAAACAGATTCATCTCATTCTTGAAGCAAGCAGCAGCAGAGGAGGGCTCCTCTTTCTCTCCCAACTCTCCCTCTCACATTTTCTCAGCCCACGACTCTACTGGGCTTAGAGCTTCCCACCCTCTCCCCAAAATGCCATGAAAGAGCCATCGTGATTGTTAGTGAAGCCATGCGCATGCAGCCTGCAAACTTTCCCATGGCAGGAGAGTAAGAGAGTGGGATTCAGCTCTGACAGTTGTAACACCATTTATTTGGAAAATTTTGAGGGGAGAACATGAGTAATGAAGATGAGAACAGTGACAGTAAGGAACAAATGTGAGTTTCTGTCCAAGACATAACAGAATTTTTAAGAACACTACTCTGCTTGTTTCCAGACAAGCCTCCAGTTTCAGTCTTGCTCAGCTGAATTACTTCGTTCTCTCTTTTCAAATGGGAGTTTGATAGAGTCACCACAATTAGAAGAATCTCCATCATCAGATATAGATTAGAAGAATCCTTATTTCTTAACTCCGAACTAAAATTGTGATGGGAGAGTGTCAATGGCAGTTACTCTGCTGAGCAATTTCTTTGTGAAATTTTGGGGATGTCCCATCTCTATTGTTTTTCCTTAATTTTTACAGAAAAGTTTTATGATTTTTGACATCTGCAGGTAAAAGGAAAGCATTCTTTTTCTTTTTTTTTTTTCTTTCCCTTGGACTGGGTATTTGTTGGTTTAGGTGTAATGCTAAAATGCAAGTTGAGCGTGGAAAATGTTTTCTTAAAAGCAAAGCGAGAAGTAATTCTTGTTGCGCGAACCATCCTTCTAAGGGTGGTTAGACAGTGGCCACTGTCAGGCACTGGCTAAAAGAATCCTCTTCTCCATAGCCATTTCTGATTGTTTCATAGCTCACACTGGGAATTTAGTCCTGAGTCTAGTTGCAGCGCTTCACCCTGTTCCTAGGGTTTTTTTTTCTGCAGTCCAGGTAGTAAAGCTATGCATGACAATTTCCTTTTGCCATCAGATCTCTGAAGTTTAATGTTGCAAGATTCCAGGTGCTGGAGCATTTATTTTGTGTCCTCTATCGCTTGTGTCAGTACGTGGAAGGCAGCGTGATCTGGAAGAAATGCATGCAGGACTGAATCTAAAAGTTCTGATTTCTAATCTGTGCTTTCTCCTCGCTCTTTGTACTTGCCCATGAGAAGATGTAAACGTGTGTACTGTTGGTCTGTTTTCTAATGAGTATTAGCTTGTGCTCGCGTGTTCAAGGCGCTGTGCAGACAGTGATCAGATAGCTGGTACTGTCTCTGAGAGTCAGGCTAAGTTTACCTCAGTGTTAACACTGTTTAATTTACGGCAAAAAGATATGCGTTTTAAAAAATGAGATACCTAAATTTTCATTTCTGTCATATTAACCAACTTATGTTAATATTCAATTAGTCATTAGCAATTAAGAGGAAATGTATAATTAAATATTTTAATTATAGGACTTGGAGTAGCTATTTTTCTCATTAAGGCACATGGCTTCATTAACTGATTACACACTGGTTGACTCATGCACACGAATCCCTTATTTGGACTTTATTGTAAGCAGACCACTATGGTTTCCATTGGCTTAATTCAGAATGCCACATTCCCTTCTGAGAAGTACCAGAATGGCTTGTGTTTCCAGAAGCAAAGATGTGTGGGAGGTAGCTATTTCAAAATAGCAGGGTATCTGTTTCTCTGAGCAATGAATGAACTACAAATCCTGTATTTCCCCATCTTTGGCAACAAGGTGGGCTGGAACAGATTTCTACTGAACCCTGAGTCAGCCAGGTTACGGTACACAAGCAGCCTGTTGAAGGGTGCACCCTACGACATTCAAGGCTAGGCTCTTCTTCTAGGCACTCTGAAAACAAGTGTCTGCGTGATAGGACTGTTGCCTTGGAGTATGAGTCGGGATCCCTGCAGTCTGTTCAGAGGATCTTTTTCTTGGATCATCTTCTGCAGAGATTTAATTTAAGACAGGACTAGTTGTTCCATAACTGTATTAATTCATTATGCACTACTTTATTTTCCTTGTCAAGGCTCCTGCACAGCGAGGCGTGCAAAGGTGGAGTCTGTTACGCACTGAATGTTGGTTTAGGCCCAATAGATGTATCTTCTAAGGTGTAAGTTGTAATCTACGACATTGATCGAAAAGAAGGCTGTATTGAGGCACACATCAGATAAGTTTTTATTAAGCTGCAATAATTTTATCACCTGTATACTGTGCAGAAAGCAGCTGACTTTTCTATTAAATGTGAGATGTGGGGACTTCCTACTTACTAAAAAGCCAGGCGCATTTTCAGCATCTTAAGAGCAGTATGACAGAAATAAAGTAGACCCAAGTGAGCTAAGTTGTATACTCGTAATGGCTGTAATATTGGAGTCCAACAACTGGAAAAACACTGTGAGACAAGGTCTGAAACACAGGTAAGAAAAGTGGGTTAGTATATACTGCATGTGAGGAACCAGGGAAAGTTAATAGAGCATATCCCGGAGGGAGAAGCTAGCAGGTATTCCTAGTCTGACTTCATTAGATATTTGGTCAAGGAAGGGCATGATGTTGATAAGCAGTGGATGAGATAAGATCACTGAAATAACAAGGATATGGATAGTGTTTTAGCCATGGCAGTTCTCTTTTCCTGGCTAATCCAGGACAGCTAACACAAAGTAGACATGTTTTCCGTAAGCAAAGGACACCATGCAATGGAAACTTAAAATAAAGATAAAAACATGTTCGATAGGCTACTGTCCTGCCAAAAAGATACAGTTATCTTGTTATTTGTTGGATTAATGTCCTTTCAAAATGGATTTAACCGAACTAATGATTTTTTTTTTCCTTGATCACCATCTTGCACTAGAACGCTGACTGATTGCAGTAATGGCTTTCAGCAGTTACTCTCCTTGCAACACCTCTACAAACAATTTAATTTTTAGTACAGTTTGGATTAAATTCTATTAGCTTCTATAAAAAAGAAATACAGAACAGATTCCGCTATGCACAGGTTTGGGAAGGGAAAATGTCTTTTCTAGTCTGACCTGACTCAGATTGCAGAGCGGCAGATCTACTGAAATCCACTGCCTCTGACATGCCACAAAAATAAGGCTTGGGCTTCCCACGTTCCAGTCGGTAACGTGCATTTCATGTGCTACTCTAGAGCCCTGGTCAACATACTCTCCATTGTAAAAGAAAAAAAAAAGGCATTACGGTACCTGAAGTAACACTTTCCTGAACTTTAACTTCTTAAGGTTTTCCACACACTATTTTCTTATAAGCTGAAATTTATAAAGTTATTAATGCAAATAGTATTCTGATGAATTCTTTAAAAATGGCTGAGCACTTTGAATTTATAGCATGCATGTACAGGTTGGGCTTATTTTGTTTGGGTTTGTGCTATTGGTGTATACTAATTTACATTTAAATTATTATCCATGTGGAAAGAGAGGGAAGCACGGTATGGTGCTTCACGTACTGCCTTCAGTCATAAGAGATATAGTTTACATGCTGTGCCTTAAAGATCGCTCTCCTGCCTGGGGAGGAAATAGGTTGAACCCGTGTTCGGTTGTTTTTCATAAGCAGCCTACTTCAGTTAGTTTGTGCAGGGAGAATGAAGGAGGTGCGCAGGAGAAATTAAATGAGATGACAGATGAAGCCTGCAATTGTTTAGGATGGTGTACTCTACGTATCTGTCTATGACCCAGCCATGGCTGGAAGGAAGTTAATCAGTTCATTTTCTATTCAGTGTTGCCAGCAGGAGGGGTTCTTACAGGGAACAAAGATAATTTGTCCTTTACTTGATGCTCATTTTGATTGTTAAGAAAATGTGTATATGCAATAGAATGGAAAGTATCACGCTGCTTGGTGGTGACCCCAGTTGAAAGCAATATACCTTCAATCTGCCAAAGGGATGCCTCAGCAAGGAAGTTCTAATATTTTTCCTAAAATATTTGTTGTGAATACAACAGATTCACAGTCGGAGAGTGAGGCTTCTCCTGTGAAACGGCCACGGCTACTGGATGACAGTAATGACAGGCCTGAAGAAACCAGTCGATCCAAACAGAAGAGTAGACGCCGATGCTTCCAGTGCCAAACAAAACTGGAGCTAGTACAGCAGGAACTGGGATCGTGTCGCTGTGGTGAGTACTGTTTGTCAGTAGCGTCCAGCTTTCTAACGCAGCCGTGCTCGGATCCATATCAGAGGTGGAAATGCAGAGAACACTTGCATTTTGTATCTTTCAAAGATACTTTAAACAGAAGGTATAGCTTCTACTGGTAGCAAAAAGTTATAATTAGTTCCTGTCTCATTTCCCCTTTAAAACTTTGGCCTTGATGTACTGCCTCGTCTCAAGAGATCTCAGATGTTAATGAATTTAGCTTCAGAACTCCCTGTAAGGCGGGAGAGCGTCATAGCCACTTGACAGGAGAAGAAACACAAAGCACATCAGTAAATATGCAAAGATGACAAGGTTTTTATGGAGCTTAAAGGAACATAGGTCAGCATCTACATTCTGCATTTTATAATTACATTATTATTAAAAATTTAAAACCAAAAAAACCTCTAACTGAAAATGTTTTCATTCTCAGAGTTAGCTGTTTTGGGGGGAAGACTTGTTCACCATATGCTTAAAATCATCCAACCTGGTGCTTCCGAAGTTGATGGCACTGTTCAGCTAATTGAATTGAGGATGATAATCTCATGCAGACAGCTAATTTGGGGTTTCATATTACATGCAAATAATCTTTCTCAAATAATAATTAATGTGACTGGATTCCAGAGGAGATGCTCTCTCCTTCATGGAAGAATTGTGTTCATAACTGGTTTAAATGTGCTCATCAGACCCAGTGATAATGCACATGGTAGTTTTACCTGCTGATTATTTTTTCATGTAATCATGTATTGAAAGCTTACACTTGCGCTCTCTGACCATGCTTGTATTGATACATTTGGAGAAGTTTTAGTTACTTTATTGTGTCTCAGCAGGGGGATAATTTCCAAAGGACTTGCATAGACGATAGGTGCAATTCACATTGCACACGTGAAATGTCGAACATTGTATTAAAATGTTTTCTGGATAGAAGGCATGTCCTTCTGAGCAGCAGTGGGGAGAGAAAAGATTGGCTAAGCTAGTTACAAAGACCCAGTTAATGAATTCTGTATTGAATACCTAATATCAAGTGAAGAGAAGCGATAGAAAGCTGCAAAAATTCCATGTTATCCTTTCTTCTTTTCTTCAGCGTCTGTCTGTCTTCAACCTTTAGAGATTACTGTTGTGTTGTGCTCTTTTGGACGTGAGACAGGCTTTGTTTCAGATATCGGAGCACTGCTGTAGAAGTAGCATACGTTATCTGTGAAGCCACCAAACATGAAATGAAAAGCTGTAATGTTGAAATTCTTGTTACAGAAATCATGTGTCTGGATACTTTGAAGTATCCAGTAAGATTTTTATCAAACTGAAGAAATGCAGCGCTATCGATGACACAGTTTGGTATGGCTCTTTCTGCTCAGCATGGTAGAGGCAGGAGTTTCTGCTCCTGGTCTGCTGCTGTCACCTATCAAATGACTGAGGCTGCTCACAGGTACCTGACTGAAATAGAAGAACCCTCCCTAATATTGGGAGCAAGAGAGTTTTACAAGTTTGGGGAGAACTGGAGAAAAGATGAGTTAGCAATTATGTTTTATCATTAATCTTTCCTGCATTCTGCAAAATTGGAGCCATGTAAGAGCAATGAAGTTGAAAGCAAGTTTTTAAAAGTCCTTCCATTGATTAGTAATGTTTTTAAAATTATAAAATAACACCTGCCTTTTTTTGTAAACTGGATGACATACATCTAGTTGGTTCCTCTCAAGTTTTCTTGAAGTAGTTCCATAATTCAACATAGTTGCAATATAAATGTTGTAGGAATATTCTTTAAATTGTTTCTACTGGATATATACAGCTTTAGGGAAATACTTCTGTTAAAGTTCATAAAATGTGTTAATAAAACATGAATATGAAACAAAAAAATTCTGAGTTCCTCAGCAATAAGTGAGGAAATGAAAACTTGCATTCCTACATTACGTATTACATCCTGTATAGTTTAACGGATGTATAATAAACACTTATATTCCACACATTTAATGAGAGAAGTGGGAGGCAGGAGTCTTTCCTGGACGAGCCCCCTGTTTAGCCTGCAGAAAAGGAGGCTGAGGGGAGACCTCATCGCTCTCTACAACTACCTGAAAGGAGGTTGTAGCGAGGTGGGTGTCGGTCTCTTCTCCCAAGTAACAAGCGATAAAACATTGGAACAGGCTGCCCAGGGAAGTGGTGGAGTCCCCATCCCTGGAAGTATTTAAAAGACGAGTAGATGAGGCGCTTAGGGACATGGTTTAGTGGACATGGTGGTGTTGGGCCGACGGTTGGACTCGATGATCTTAGAGGTCTTTTCCAACCTCAATGATTCTATTCTATTCTATGTTTACAACACAGCTGAAAAGACTGGAGATCTTTGGTTTACCTGTGCAGCTATAATGTTTCATTACTACTGTATTCAGTACTTGTGTTGTCTATAATGAAATGCTCTCATGTGATGTGAAAGTAGGCGTTCCCTGCACTACTTACTTTTAATAGTAATATTAGTAAGAAGCAAACAAAATCCTACCACTGAGCAACGCAGGTCATCTCAGCTTCACATCACCTAAACTGCTTTACCAATACTTATCAGCAAGTAGCTTTTGTCATTTTTAAGGAAGCTGCCTTAGAAACCGTTCTCACTAGCTTTGCCCTATCTGTAAAATTAGGTTGCTTTAGGTCATGAATGACAAGCCAGATCAAAAACCCTGGGGAAGGGGTGATGGGAAATGGGACAGAAAAATATGTTAAAATTCTCATTCACTTAAAATGTTTTCTAAATCTGTATATGATCAGGTTATCCTTTTAGTCATAATGTGAAGCACAGGTAATGATGCGTGTTTAACTGGAAGTGTTGGAAATGTAACCAACTGGTGTAAAATAAGCATGTATTTTCTTCAAAAGTAATGATCACGGTAGAACATTGTTTGATCTGGACTTTGACCACTGCTATTAAATTCTTGGCATCTTAATCCTTAACAATCCTTAAGCAATGGGAAAAAACCTTAATGTTAAACATTGAAAGAAATTCTGATAGTCAGAATCAATAAAAAGGCAGACACGATCTTTAGAGAGACAAATCTGTGTGTTTGCTTGGATATAAGGAAAAAGGATTAACCACATAAATACTATGTTGTTCCAAAGCTGTGTCTGAAACACTGTTGTTAAAATCCAAATTAACTCTTTGTAAGACTCCACGGAACAGCAATTTTATTGTTTGCTGTGACACATCTTCTTGTCCTAATGTTAAAAGTACTGGAAATCATCGCCTTTTTTGCCGATGTGTCCTGGTGATTCTTCCAGTGAGATTTTTAGTGAGACACAGGGGAAAGAAAAATCTATACATACTGGACAATGTTTTAATATACCTGCAGATATTAATCTAGCGTAAGTGGGACTTGTCCAGCGGGGCACAACCTTTCTAAAAGGGGACAGAGAGAGTGGGCTGCTGCTTTACACCAAATTCAGAGATCCTTGGGAAACTGCTGTATTGGCTCTACTGCCTCCTCTAAAACCTGTCCAGAGAGAGGTGATGCTGCTGAGCTCGTTCCCTTGACACACTACATGGACTTTTCGACAGATATGACAGTGCTGCAGGGCTTTGCCATGAAGAAAAACAATTCACTACTAAGGGAGTTCCAGTAAGGGTTCTTCAAATTCAAACACAACGTTTTTCAGCTGTAGAAAGATTTATTTATTTTCATACACGCATACTCTCAAAATCTTTTTTCATTCTGCTTCCACTCTGTACAAGTTATTAACTGCTGACAAGAAATTCACATCTCATAAATAATGCTTAAGAGCCATTGCTATATGAATCGAATGTGTTATGAATTGTGATGGGCCTTTTTGTAGCGTTCTGTGCCTGGAGCAGGAAGAACAGAGGATGTCATTTTCATTAATTTCTAATGAGGTGCCAATTAAAGGCAAGGAAGGAACTCAGAAGGGAAGAGTCACAGAGCTCCCCTGAATCCTGTACCCTGGGGCTGTCAAACGAGCGTGCTTGCCAAGCCTCCTCTGAAAGTGCCAGTAAATTACAAACTCATCTAGAGCACACACAGACAAATTCGGCTTCACTTTGATCTTCAAAAGAGCAATTTGTAAGACTAGTTCTGAGCCTTTTCACACAGCGAACTGGGAGAAGTGATAGGAATTGTTAATTGCTGATGTATTTTGCGAGCTTCAATGAGAAAGGGAAATTTTAAAATGAGTTCTCATTTTGTGCCTCTCTGACTGGATAACCTTTAAATCAACGCTACTAGAACAAAACCAGCTTCCTATGAAACGTTTCTAGATGACAGTTACACTAGGCATGTTTTCCAGACAGCGATGTTCTCTAGTTCTGGGTGGGCCTTTCAATAGTTTAGCGTATTCTGATGGATAACGATTGTATTGAAATAAGGTATTTATTTAATATTTTATATATTTTATTTAATACTAGGCAGTTTTATCATCAGATAAATCAGAATTACAGGAATTGTATTCTTCAAGTTACATTCTATTACAGCATTTCTGCTGGAAGTGTAAGCAGTGCAAAATGAATCGCCTGTGATTCTTGATCTGAAAATTAAGTTGTCAGTTCAGTGATGTGATAAGCAGGTGGTTACCACAGACTTGCTTTAAAACTAGGGGCAGAGAATTTGTGAGTTAAAGTAGCTATGTAACACAGAGTTCTGGAAATGTATTTTAGAAAAAGACAGGTTGATTATTTGCAAATTACGCTATAAATTTATGGGCCTTGTCTTAGTTACTTGACTAGATGTATATTGCTACTAAATAAAGTTGTGTACACTTTTAAAAGATACTGAGCTGTGAACTTCTAAGCCATAGAAATTATTTGCACAGAAAGCATACCTTAATTTTATGGCAGAGGTTTAGTATTTTACAGCAAAAATTAGTTCTGGTGTCACTTGTTGTGTAAACCCAACGCACAGAAATCTGTAGTGGTCTTTAATATTGTTGGAATTGCATAAGTTGGACGAGGATATTCTAGATGATCAGTAAAGGAATTTCACATCTGTCACATT